TTGCCCCATTCATCTGTTCTCATCTCATCTGGCAAGAATTCCTCACTGTTTTGTCTGTCGGGAGTATTTCTTCTAGTTTCCCAGCGATGTCACAGATCTGTAGCAGATGGTCATTTATGTGGAAACCTAGTTTGGAAACTGATCTTTTCTGAGTAAAAACTGTTTCTGTAATTTAAATATCTCAGCACTTCAAGAGAATAATGCCCTTGAAAAGAACTTAACAACCAATGTATTTACATTGGCACAATTTCAACTTAGTAGTTTATGCAATTATTACCCTTCAAAACATACAAACTGGGAGTTGCAGTAACCTGTGTTGTGACATCGCCACGTAACAGCTCCCGTGTCGCTCTACCCACGGGGACTCCCTGATGTGGGCAATGAATCTTGCCCTGCCTGCTGGACCCACCAGCACCAGGGACAATGCCATATAGCGAATCTGTCCTTAGCAACTACAGATGGCCTGATACAGACAGATGATTTTTTAAAAGAGATTTTATTTGAGAGAGAGAAGAGAACGAGCAGTGGGTAGAGGGAGAGGCAGAGCAGGGAGCCTGACATGGGGCCAGATTCCAGAACCCTGAGATCATGACCTGAGCCAAAGGTCGATGCTCAACAGACTGAGCCACCTGGGCGCCCCGAAGAGATGGTAAAACCTTTAACCTTTTAGGGTAAGTTCTCTATTTGGATGCCTTTGCTATTTAGACTCTTGAATGATTTCATCTTCTGTATTTTTCTATTTCTTCTGTCATTTCAGTGAGATTTCGGGGTGTGAAGAGAAGTACATATGTTCAGACTGCCCTTTCAAAATTGAAAACAGTTTGTTTCTTTATTTTATTTAAACTTTAAAAAATTACAAAATAGTACTTTTGCACTACTAAAATTCAGACAAAAAATATAGGCTGCAAAAAGAGAAACTACCTTCTATCCCAGCTTCCAAAAAGAAGGACTCATTTAAATTAGCAAGCGTTTAAAATATAGTTACAACTAATATTAGAAAGGATTTAGTATAAAGACGCCTGGGTGGCTCAGTGGATTGAGCCTCTGCCTTCGGCTCAGGTCATGATCTCGGGGTCCTGGGATCGAGTCCCGCATTGGGCTTTCTGCTTGGCGGGGAGACTGCTTCCTCCTCTCTGTCTCTCTGCCTACCTTTCTGCCCGCTTGTGATCTCTGTCTGTCAAATAAATAAATAAAATCTTTTAAAAAAAGAAAGAAAGGATTTAGTATTGTGCATATTTTTTCAGACTTCTTAATGCTTTTTAATTTTAATTTTTTAATTTTAATTTTTATGCTTCTTAAATTATATGTGATGCTTATACATACAAATTTTAATTAAAAATTTATTTTTATTTATTTTTAAGATTTTATTTATTTGACAGAGAGAGACACAGCCAGAGAGGGAACACAAGCAGGGGGAGTGGGAGAGGAAGAGGCAGGCTTCCCACCAAGCAGGGAGCCCGATGCGGGGCTCCATACCAGGACCCTGGGATCATGACCTGAGCCGAAGGCAGATGCTTAATGACTAAACCACCCAGGTGCCCCTAAAAAAAAAAAAAAAAAAAAATTTTTAAGAAATCTCTACCCCACGTGGGGCTCAAACTCACAACCCTGAGATCAAGAGTCATAGGATCTACCAACCAAGCCAGCCAGGCACCCTATACATAGCAATTTTAAAAGCCATACTATACAGGGGCACCTGGGTGGCTCAGTGGGTTAAAGCCTCTGCCTTCGGCTCAGGTCATGATCCCAGGGTCCTGGGATCGAGCCCCGCGTCGGGCTCTCTGCTCAGTGGGGAGCCTGCTTCCTCCTCTCTCTGTCTCCCTGCCTCTCTGCCTACTTGTGATCTGTCTGTCAAATAAATAAATAAAAATCTTTAAAAAAAAAAAAAGCCATACTATACAAACAGTTGTGTAATTTGCCTTTTTTATGTAATATATCATGCATATATTTCCAGGTCAGCATACGTAGATCCACCTTATCCCTTTGAATATGTAAAATACTATCTCATTAAATTGATGAACCTAAAGTAGCAAACCAAACTTGTTACTAAACATTTTATATTCTTTTTTTTAATCTTTTTTTTTTAAGATTTTTATTTATTTATTTGACAGACAGAGATCACAAGTAGGCAGAGAGGCAGGCAGAGAGAGAGGAAGGAAAGGAGGCTCCCCGCTGAACAGAGAGCCCCACGCGGGGCTCGATCCCAGGACCCTGGGATCATGACCTGAACTGAAGGCAGAGGCTTTAACACCCTGAGCCACCCAGGTGCCCCAACATTTTATATTCTTTCCAACTTTTTATCATTAGAAAAATACTGCATTAAATGCTCTTGTACATATATCTTTGTGAGTTTCTATAGAATGAATACCTAAAATTTGAATTTTTAGGTCAAAGAGTATATAATTAAATATATTACTCGTTATAATTTTAATGAATACTGACAAATTGCCAGCCTCCCAAAAGCTGTATTTTTACCAATAGTGGATGCAAGTGCCTTTTCTCCATATCCTTTCTAATATTAGTTGTAAGTAGATTTTAAATGCTTGCTAATTTAGTCAGCAAAACCACCTCATTGAGAGGCGCCTGGGAGCCTCAGTCAGTTAAGCATCTGCCTTTAGCTCAGGTCATGATCCCTGGGTTCTGGGATCCAGGCCCACGTGGGCTCCTTGCTCAGTGGGGAGCCTGCTTCTACCTCTCCCTCTGTCCCTCAACACACTTGTTCTCTCTCTCTCTCAACAAGTAAATAAAATATTTTCCAAAAAATGTTTTTTAAAAAGATTTTATTTATTTATCTGACAGAGAGAGAGACAGCTATACAGGGAACACAAGCAGGGGGAGTGGGAGACAAAGAAGCAGGCTTCCCACGGAGCAGGGAGCCCAATGCGGGCCAATCCCAGGACCCTAGGGCCATGACCCAAGCCAAAGGCAGAGGCTCAACAACTGGTTGTTACCAGGTGCCCCAGTAAATAAAGTCTTAAAATAAACAAATAAACAAAAAAACCACCTCACTGAAAATTTCAGTATCATTAATTTTTAGTGATTTGGGCATCTCTCCACATTCTTAAACATTTATTTTTACTTTTTGTTGTATGATTTGTGGTTCCATCTCTTCCTCCAAATTAAAAGTTTTTTTCTTATTGATTTGTGCAGACTCTTTGTATATTGTGGATATTAACTAATGTTTTGTCATATATGATGCACACATTTTCAATTTATCACTTAATTTGGCTGATTTTCTTTTTGGCCTCTTGCAAGTTATGCTTTTTACAACCTGTGAGGATGGGTCTTTCTAAGCACAAGAGATGCCAAGCTGGAGAAAGGTTGACAGATTTTAAGTACTTTAAAAGTACTTTAAAAGTAAAAATGTTGGGGTGCCTGGGTGGCTCAGTGGGTTAAAGCCTCTGCCTTTGGCTCACTTCAGGATCCCAGCTCTGCATAGAGAGAATCTCTGCTCAGCAGGGACCCTGCTTCCCTTCCTCTCTCTCTGCCTACTTGTGATCTCTGTCTGTCAAATAAATAAATAAAATCTTAAAAAAAAAAAAAGTAAAAATGCTAAGGAGTCTGGTTTTCATCTTGATGGCAATAGAAAGCCCTTGATGACTTTTTAAACTAGATTTAACAAGATTGGATTAGCACCAAGTATCTCCAATTCCTGTCTCTTCCTCAGGGGGTTATCTGCCTCCCAGTTAATTCTTCACATTGGTCACATTTTTTTTTTTTTTTTCTCTTCTCTGTTGATCTCTCGGCAGTGGTTGTCATCAAGCCTTCTGGTATTTTGGCTGCTGGCGACACTCTTTGGAATGGCACATATGCTACACAAGTATACACAAGGTTGGGGTAAAACATACACTTTCCTAGGTGCTAGCCACCAGGAATTTAAAATCGTTTCTGCCCCTGAGAGATGATCATTACTTCTGTATCTCTGGGGAGAAACTGTAATTGAGAGACTGGGCTGTGTGGATGCCCAAGCAGCTAGAACATATCGGAGCAGGGTTGTAAAATTCTGTTTCTCCTTTTTCGTGCCGCTTCTAAGTGCACTTGTGTGGCTGACAAACATCTGGAATACATGCTTTTATTTTGAATTATTTCAACAATTTGAGCAACTATTATGTGCTATACCACCTGCTATTTTTTTTTTTTAAAGATTTTATTTATCTTTTAGCAGAGAGCCTGATTGGGGGACTTGATGGGGGCCTCGAGCAAACGACCCTGGAATCATGACCCCAACCAAAGGGAGTTGCTTCAGCAACTGAGCCACCCAGGCGTCCCGCCTTTTCTTTCTTTTCTTTTCTCTTTTTTCTTTCTTTCTTTCTTTCTTTTTTTTTTTTAATAATCTTCCTAACAACCCTTTAATATTAGTGCTGTTATTCCCATTTATAGAAAAGAAAACTGAGGCTCAGATAGGGAAGCGACCTGCCTAAAGCCACATAGCCGTGATTTTGGAGCGAGGATGCAATCCAGGTCTGACCCCGGTTTTAAATTGCTCACGAGGCCGCGCTGCCTCTTCCTAACAGAGAGTTTACAAAATATAGTTTCAGAAACTAAATCAGCCCCATGCTCAGAGGGCACTGAGCATGAATGAGGGGACCTTTGAGTACTGACTTTACATTTACTGATTAGTACGACTTGGGCACAGGATGACACCTAAGGACACTCGACCCTGCGAGGTCGGCGCTACCTGCAGTCCCAACCTTGCAGACTGGGAAGCTGAGCAGCAGAGGAGACCAAGGGCGCTCCAGACCCGGGGCCCAATTCCTCACATGGCTCTGCCTCCCACTGTCAGGCTCGACCTCGCGCCTCGACCTTTCTCGACCTCTTTTTTGGGTCCTGAAGGCTGCGAGCCTCCCGGCGATGGACCGTCTTCCTCTTCGTAGGATGCCCCCCCTAGCTGGGGGCCTACAGACGAGCCAGGAAAATGTGACCCCGGAAGCAGTCGCGGCGCCCGCGGCGGCGTCTTCGGTTGCCAGAGCGCCGCCCCGGAAGTACAGCTGGGCGCGCGGCGGGCCGGTCCGCGGGGCTGCGAGTGGCGTCCTCCTGCCGGCGCCGGAGTGGGGCTGGAGGCGGGGCCGGGGCACGGCGCGGGGCCGCCCAGCTGCGCGCTGCTCCGCGCTCCTCCGGGCTCTGCGCCCACAGGTGAGGCCCCGCCGCCGAGGCCGCAACCCCGGACGAGGGTGTGGCCGGCCCTGGTGGACGAGTACGCATGCGCGAGCGGGTCTGAGCGCCCAGGTCTCCGCGGCCGGGGACGTGTTGTTTGTTTAGGGGCTGCTTGCCGGACCCGCGTCCTCCCGGAAGCCTGCGCTGACCCCTGTGCCCCCGCTTTTCCTCCGAGCTCCTGTGACTTTCCCTGTGCTGCCCGGTCGTTGTAATTGCATTCTGATTCATATTGGCTATCCCAGAATTTTATCGTTTAGGCTTTTCCCATTCGTTTGCAGTCTGTGTTGTTTCTCCCGCATCTTTTGCAGGGGGCGGGGGACCTGTGGTGACAGCGCTGGTTAGGAGATGGATTCGTGTCCCCCGCCCTGCCTGCCCTCCTGTGCTGGATTGGACCTGAGCATTTCTCCTCCCTGTTTGTCAGTCCAAGAGGGTGGGAGGCGGAGGTAGCCGAGCACCCCATAGAGTAGCCGGGGCATTACAGGGAACTCGTTCTAGAAGTAAAAGAATCTCATTGTTGTAAGCAGGTTAGGGTTTGCAGAGAGGCTCTTTGTTCACGGAAATATTGTACTGAGCACATTTCAGTGCTGGTTTGTGGCAGTTACAAAAAGATTGGTCTTGCCCTGTGCCCAAGGCATTACAAGCCCTGCTAAGTGGTTGCTGTAGAACACGGCACTGTCTCCCAGGGGCGTGCGGAGCTAGAAAGGGGCCATCCAGCTGTTTCGAAGTCGTCGTTTACACTATTGATTATTTTCTTTAAAGATGGTATTTTTTCCTTTTCCAGGAAGACTAGCTGGAAAGGAATCGAAACGCCCTAGAATCCTGACCTCGTTGGGACTTTGTTGAAAGTGATAGTGACCAAAGTGTTTGCGTAGTGGGTTTGGGGACGGAGGAGCCTCCCGTTTTTTATGGCTGGACCCAGAAAAGTGCATTCATTCTATGAATATAATTTCTTCCCTCTGCTTGCTGTTTCTCCTGAAAGGTTGGCCTGGCTTTTGTCAGGGAGTAATGATAACTCAGGGAAATGAAAGGCCTTTTCGCAAAGTTCTGTCCTCCTGGGGTTGGGGATACGGATATTCCCTGAGATGTTCCCTCACTCCATGGAGATCTGCTAAACTCCAGATCTCCTAATTCAAGCCTCTGGAAAAAGTGTGAACGTCTGGGGGTGTTTGTTTACCATTTTCTCCTGCCTGCGGGTCTGCCAGCCTCTGAAGGGCTGGGCTGTGCCTGAGCACTGCTTGGCTTGTTTGATTGCATGATGGAAGGGAATTCACCTCTTTATTTTTGCTAATTCATCAAATATTGATTTAGCACCTGCTATTATTAGACGCTGTTCTGGATGCTGGGCGTTGAGTAGGCAATGATTGAGAACAACACTTCTGCTCTCCTGACGTGAGATATGTGTGTCAACGACAGGTAATCACCAGGGAACCAAATATGTGAACTAGACCAGTTCTTCTCAAACTTGGGCAAGGGTAGGGATCTCACCTGAGAGCTTGTTCAGATACAGATTCCTGGGCCTGCTCCCAAGGAGTCCAAGTGTGCGCATCTGTGTAGGGGTTGGGGGAAGTGTAAGAATTTGTTTTCTTTCTTTCTTTCTTTCTTTCTTTCTTTCTTTCTTTCTTTCTTTCTTTTTTAAGATTTTATTTATTTAGTTGAGAGAGACAGAGACAGTGAGAGAGAGCAGGGAGGAGAGGGAGAAGCAAGCTCCCTGCCGAGCTGGGAGCCCAATGCAGTATTCGATTCCAGGACCCTGGGATCATGACCTGAGCTGAAGGCGGAAGCTTCACCGACTGAGCCACCCAGGTGCCAGGTGCCCAAGAACTTCTATTTCTTTTTTCTTTATTTCTTTTTAAAGATTGTATTTATTTATTTATTTGACAGACAGAGAGAGAGATCACAAGTAGGCAGGGAGGCAGGCAGAGAGGGAGAGGGAAGCAGGCTCCCTGCTGAGCAGAGAGCCTGATACTGGGCTCCATCCCAGGACATTGAGACCATGACCTGAGCCAAAGGCAGAGGCTTAACCCACTGAGCCACCCAGGTGCCCAGTGGGTTAACAAGCTCCAGGTGATGCTGGTGCGGTGGGTTTGTGGGCCCTGGACTAAACAGTCGTGTGCAGCCTGACGGCCACAGAGAAGTAAAGTGTGATGAGTGGGGGCATTGAGATTATCGTTGTGAAAGTCACTCTGAAGAGTTGACCTTCGAGAAGGGGCCAGATGTGGGGGAGAGCAAAGCCTTGAGACAGGCTGCAGCTTGGTGGGTGTGAGGAGCTGAAAGGCGGCCCAGGGCTGCAGAGGGCTGATGGAGAGGGGTGCTGGAGACAAAGCTTGAGAGGTAATGGGGAGCCCAGATCACATGGGGTCCACTTTGTAGTTGGTTGTAGGTGATGGTTGTTTTCTGGGGCTAATGGAAGCTCCTGGAGGCTTGTGAGCAGGATGACTTTATTTGCTTTGTGCGTGTGAGAGGGTCACTCTGCTAGGCAGAGCATGGGTGCCATGGGGTGGTGGTGCTAAGGAAACCAGTGGAGCCTGCTGTGGTCGTCCAGGGTCATGGGGACGCTGGGGAGAGGCATAGACAGATCTGGAATCTTCTGGAGTAGATCTGGCACCATTTGCTGCTGGCGGGATTAAGAGTCACCGCCCCCCCCCAGGACCACAGCTGAGCTTTGCTGGATTGTGAAAGCACCTTGCTGCCGGGGCTTCCAGCTTGTGAAATGACTCTCTCGCCTCCCTGGATCGGGACTGTCCACAAGCACCTCATTCAGGTGCTCGCGTCTCCGGTAGTGGTCCCTGCGCAGGGTGGCTGTCAGCGGGTGGGTGAGAAGTTGGGCTGTCGAAGCTCAGACACCCAGGGACGTCCCTGTGGAAACCTGTCCTCAAGCTTTTGAAGGTCCTGCCCACCGGCCCCGGCAGAGGGACCCACATCACTTTCTGAACATAGCTAACTGCCTGCCTCTAGAATGCCTTTCCCCGGCTGGCGAACCTCAGGTGGGGACAGCCCACTGGGATTCGAGCACAGCCAGCACAAAGATCAGCACACACCTAACTCTGTTTCTCTGGGTTAGGTTTTATGATGCTCAGTTTGGGTTTTTAAATTTTTTTTTCAATTTTTTATTTAAATTCTAGTTAACATATGGTGCGATATCAGGTTCAGGAGTAGAATTCTGTGGTTCGTCAGTTACATACAGCACCCGGTGCTGATCACAACAGGTACCCTCCTTCATCCTCATCACTCATCCAGCCCATCCCCCACCCACCTCCGCAACCCTCTATGTTCTCCACAGTTAAGAGTCACTTATGGTTTGTTTCCCTCTGTCTTTCTACCCACTCCCGTATGTTCACCCGCTTTGTTTCTTAAATTCCACATACGGGTGAAATCATGTAGTTTGTCCTTCTTTGACTTTTGCTTAGCATAATACCCTCTAGTCCATCCACGTTGTTGTAAATGGCAAGATTTCATTCTTTTTGATGGCAGAGTAATCATTCCGTTGCATATATATACCACATCGTCTTTATCCCTTCCTGTGGGGCTCAGTGTGGAAAGTAGCTGACCAGTGGCTTCACGTTCAGTTCATGTGAACCCCACTATAGTCGTTACCTACCAAGTTCATTACACGGTCCTGCTAACCTCACTTATTTTTCTTTCCTGTTTTAGGAGGAAGTAACAGGAGAACTGTCTGACATCTGGTATTTCTTTATTGATTTTTCTAAGGGAAGGGCCTTCGTATTTCTTAGGGTTGGGAAGGAGTCAGCCCTGGCTTCTGTGGCCAGCGGGTTCCTTTGTCTGTTCTGCACACCATTTCTGAGCCCCCTGACTGTGGCTGGCCCTGGCTGGGTGTTGAGGGACAGAGACCAGTCCACCCACCCCCTGCCCTGTGGGGTAAAGGGACAGTTGAAAGAGTGGGGAGGGGAGGAAGCATGGCATCCACAGGCTGCAGTCTGTGCTCTGTCTGCTACTCTTTTTCTTTTTTTTTTTTTTTTTAGATTTTATTTATTTATTTGACAGACAGATCGCAAGTAGGCAGAGAGGCAGGCGGGGGTGGGGGGGGGAAGCAGGCTCCCCACCGAGCAGAGAGCCTGACGTGGGGCTCGATCCCAGGATCCCGGGACCAGGACCCGAGCCGAAGGCAGAGGCTTTAACCCACTGAGCCACCCAGGCGCCCCTGCCTGCTACTCTTTGAGCCCTACTTTCTCCGTGTGTAAACGGGAAGAATGAACACCTGCCTCCCAGCAGCGTGTGAGCCCGAGGGACAGAGGAAGTAGAGAAGCACGCGTACAGAGTGCCCGGCCCTGTGCCCGGTGGATCCTGGCGCTTCATAGAAGTCGTGGCTGTTGTTTTGGGTGATAAAGTAAATATCGAGTTACTTCCTCCGTGAGGGCAGGGCTGACCTCCAGCACCTGGCCAGGAGTCCGGCCCACCCACTGTAAGTAGGGCCTGAAGTGGAAGAGCGTGCAGGGCTGAATCGGGGAGAGCGTCAGGAACCTTCGGGGAAAGCGGGTGCGCTCGTTTCAAACTCAGTGAACTGTGGTGTGCCGCAAGCACACCCGCCCGACCTCCCAGTAATCTCAGCCATCCTGCCAAAGCCCTGGGGCTCTCATTCGCATTTTCTTCATGGGGAAAATGGAGGCCCCAAGAAAACTCGCGAGTCCCCATGAATGTGTGAGCGCGGGAAGTGAACCGAGTGCCCGAGCCTCAGGTGCGGGGGAACTGCTGTCCCTCCTTTGGCTCTGCTGAGGCTGCCTTGTCATTGGTTCCCAGTGGTGGTTATCATGCTGGTTTGGTGCATTTCTGGAAAGAGGTCCCATGTCTCTTTAAAGGAGAGGTGGCCTTAGTTCATTTCTTTCTTTTTCTTCTTTTTTTGTTAACTATAGATAAATGTTTTGTCCTTTTTTATTTTTTTAAGATTTATTTGTGTATTTATTTGACAGTGTGAAAGAGATCACAAGTAGGCAGAGAGCCAGGCAGAGAGAGGGGGAAGCAGGCTCCCTGCTGAGCAGAGAGCCCGATTTGGGGCTTGATCCCAGGTCCCTGAGATCATGACCTGAGCCGAAAGCAGAGGCTTAACCCACTGAGCCACCCAGGCACCCCAACTGTTTTGTCCTTTTGCACATCACTTTACTCTGCTGTCTCCCACATATATACTTAAAACTCTTTATAGGTGTAAATTTCCTTTTTCTTCAAGTGCCTGGGATGGCTATATCTCGAGTTCGTTTCCTGGGCTGTACTTTGAAAGTGTCATGAAGTGAGTGGCTCAGTGAGGCCGGATGTCTGAAATCAAGGTGCTGGCAGAGCCGTGCTCTTCCCGAAGATTCTGGGCAGGATCCTGGTCTCTTCCAGTCTGTGGTGGACCCAGACTTTTCTTGGGCTGTGGCTGCGCAGCTCTCATCTCTGTTTTCATGTTCATGTGACCATCTTCCCTGTGTGTCTATGTGTCCCTGCATCCAGACTTCCTTTTTTTTTTTTTTTTTAAGTAATCTCTATGCCAAATGTGGGACTTGAACTCATAACCCTGAGATCAAGAGTCACATGCTCTACTGACTGAGCCAGCCAGGCACCCCTCAACATATCTTTTTTGGGGATACAGTTCCAACCCATAATATTTACAGGAAAGTAACTCTTGAAAACAGAGTCAGATTCAAAGGACTGACCCTTGGGAATGTGTCTGTTCCCTCACTTTCATGAGGAGTAGGCACTGTTTGCCCCCCCTCCCCGTGTGCCGGACGGCTGGGTGCTGGAGACAGTGGGGCCTGCCACATGCGCTGTGAACGTTATTGCAAATGCTCACACCTAAGTCTAGAAAGAATCGGGGGGATGAGAAGGAAGCAGGGGACTAAGAGAGTCCTCTCCTCACCTTACTTTCCTCTAGAAGGAAGGTAAACAAAGACCAGAAAGGCAAGGTAGGAAGTTCTGTGTGCCAACAAAGATGGCAGGAGACATATAGGGAAGGCTGGGTGGTTCGGTGGAGGGAAAAGGTGACGAGAATGGCTCCCTGGGGGAGGTGGCCTTTGGCCTGCAGCTTTGGGATCAGCGGAGCTGGGTGAGAAGCCCTGGGTGGGAGCAGCAGGGAGGTGGGTGCTGGGCCGGAGCAGGGGGCGTGTGAAGTGGAGTGGCAGGGTGGCCCAGAAAGTCCCACCGGAGTCAAGAAGTAAGAGAATCCAGAAAAATGTATCACAATAAGAAAAGACCCTCAAGACAGCTCGTGGCATGCTCTTGTTCAGCAGAAGACACGGTTTTGCCGTGTTCACAGACGGTCTCTCGGTCCTGGGCTGTGTACATTTTGCCCGTGTGTTCATTTTGTTGTAGGTACAAACCCCAAGCAGCAAGCCCCGAAGCTGAAGCGAACTTGGCCGTGCCTGTTGGCTCCAGGAGTCCCTATGGTGGGTCCGGCCTGAGAGGCTGGTTTTCCTTGGCGCCCTGTGGAAGTGGTGGGTGGGGTGGCGAGAAAGCCTGACCTCCGAGGCTCCGTGTCCTGCTCCATAAAGTGAGGATGAGAATATGTGCCCAGTCTGCTTTATGGGGTTTGGGGATCACACCTGGGAAGCGTTTTCTGACTGTTCCAACATGGCCCCATCAATGACCCTGCTGGGTCACCCCCAGGCGGGTTGCGGGTCAGCACCTGTGCCAGGTGGCAGCGCACTGAGATATGAGGGGTGGTGTTGGGGCCGTCATTGCCTGCCTGGGGAATGGTTCTCCCCACAATCCCAAGTCTGCGGTTGGACTCTAGGGGGCAGAGTTGGAGCAGGATTGGGCTGCTGGGCTGTGAGGGCTGAAGTTGGGGAGAGCGTAAACTCGCCAGGGCTTTGGACACTGGCTGGGGTTGGCCCAGGGAGGGGTGTGGGGTCACAGCGCGCGGGGATTCCGCTCCCGTGCTGCCTCTGCCAGCGTTTCTGTGCGGCGGCTGCTGACTTTCCACGGTAACAGCCTCCTATCATCACAGGGCAGCTTCTCGTGTTGCAGAGGGCAGTTTCGTGCATTTCTTACCTTGACCCCGGGGGGCATGGACATCCTGATGAAGCCCATGTTCAGAGCGGGGGGGACAGCAGACTGTGTGAAAAGAGGTGGCACATCAGAATAGGGTCACCGTGGGCTCAAGTCAGGGCTCCATGGCTCCCTTCAGTCTGATTCTTATAGGGGCTCTTAACCTTTGAGCCTCAGCGTCCAAATCCGTAAAGTGGTGACGATGGCAGCAGTACCACCAGATACCTCCTGAGTGTTTTTTACATGCTGCGCACTGTTCCCCTGTTCACTCATTTCATCCTCACTATAGCCCTGTGAGATGGGTACATGCTGTTCATAGAGAGAAGGAAACAGAAGTTCAGAGAGGTTAAGTAACTTGCCCAGAGTCGCACAGCTTGTGAGATTCAGAACTGGCCCTTGAACTCAAGTCCCAGCTCTGTGACACTGCCACTGCTGGGCAGGGTGAGGAGGCAGTGGGCTGATTTTGTGTGAAAGCTCCACGGAATTGTCTTCCCTCTCCCTTTCCCGAGGCAAGGCAGACCCAGGTCTCCTCTTTTAACTTTCTCCAAGTCACACAGTGGTGCTGACAGACCTGGGGCCACAGTCAGTCAGTCTGATTGGGTGTCTGTCACATGCCAGGTACAGGGCTAGACTCTGGGCCCAAAGCAGCAAAGAAGAAAGCCAGCTGCCTGTCCTCTTGCAGGGCCAGGAGTGCAGGAGTACCGAGTGGCCCTGAACCAGGTCTGGAGTCAGGGAGGCTTTGTGGAGGGAGTGACATCCACTTACGCTGGTCGATGAGTGGGCAGCAGCTTTGCCAGGCGGGGGGGAGGGGGGGAGTGCCACAGGCACAGACACCCAGCACATGCCAAGGCCCTGAGGCAGAGTGTGGGCAGAAAAGTCCAGTGTGGCAAGAACATAGCACGTGAAGGAGAAACAGGTGAGGGCTGAGGGTCTGCAGATCTTAAAAGCTGGGAAGCCATGGAGGCTAGTAAAAGGCAGTGATGTGGTCAGATAAAGGTCACCTGCGCTTACAGAGAGTGAGATGGAGCAGGGCCGGGGAGGAAGCAGGGAGGTAGCAGCGCTGGACAGGGTGGGAGGTGCTCCTGTTGGGACATGCTCCCACCCAGCCTCCGGAAGCCAGCTCCAGGGCCGTCTACTGAGGGCAGTCTCCCCCAGCCACCCCGCGAGGGCCACCTCCCGCCTCAGGTCTCACAGCCCAGGTGCTACCTCTGCCTGGTGGCTCCTGTCGCCATGGCGACACCCATCGGGTGGTGACTCTCACTGTTGCCTCCCCCCCCACCCTCCCACCCCCCCGCAGGCCAGACTTTCTTAGTCTTGGCACCGTTGACATTTTGGCTTGGGTGACTTGCTGTGGGGGAGGGGGCGTCCCATACGCCATAGGGTGTCGGGCAGCATCGAGGCATCCGTGTCCCCAGCTGTGACAACAAAAGACATGGCCAGATGTCTCTGCCAGATGGCCGAGAACCACAGCCCGTGTTGGGGGAGCTTGGGGTGTGTGAGGGATAGTGTCTTGCTGTTGACATTTCCAACCTCTAACACGTTGATCTCTTCCAGGATTATGGCAGGAAAAGTGAAATGGGTCACTGATATCGAGAAGTCCGTGCTGATAAATAACTTTGAAAAGAGAGGATGGATCCAAGTGACAGAAAACGAAGATTGGAACTTTTACTGGTAAGTAGAGAAAGCAGGATCCAGTTGTTTTTCCAAGGCCTCTTGTCGCCTGGTGAATGCTAGCGCAGACTGTGTGCCCAAGGGACACCTCCCATCACACATCTTCCACCCCAAGGCCCCCTAGGTGCATACGACAAGAATGCCCTTGGCTCGTCCACGTCCCGGAGTGTTCCCGCACTCCCGTGTGGCAGCCTGGCGTCGGACGTCCCGGGACGCTTCCTCACAAGCCAGCATGGCTAAGACGGCCGGGGTTTGGTGAGAAGCCGGAGTCCCCTCCGGTCGGCGTTCTCAGTCAGTGCCTTTGTCCAGCGCTGGGGGATCTCTGCCTCCCTTTGCTTCCTCTCACCGCAAATAGTGCCGGTGGGACTGGTTACCAACAGCTGAGAAGCGAGTGGCGTGAGGAACAGGGAAGCAGGGTTCGGCACGGACTCCCTGGTGGTGTTTCACCCAGTGGCAAACACAGGGGCTGTCCTAGACTCCTGCTCCCGCCTGCCTCCCCGCCTTCACCGGGTGAGGTCCTGCGTCCTCCCTTGTCCATGGCTGGGCTGCTCCCTGCCTCGGGGCGGCCTCCACCCTTGGGCAGGGTTGTGTGCCCAAACTGCCACCTGCGGTTGCCCCTGCCGTCCCCAGCCCTCTTTAGCTCCTGCCCCCGTGAATCTTTGAGGAAGGGCGGGCTGGTGGGACTCTGGAGGCTTTTTCTTTCTTTCTTTTTTAAGATTTTATTTATTTGTCAGAGAGAGAGAGCGCAAGCAGGGGGAGCGGCAGGCAGAGGGAGAAACAGGCTCTCCTCTGAGCAAGGAGCCGACGTGGGACTTGATCCCAAGACTCTGGGATCATGACCTGAGCCAAAGGCAGACACTTAATGGACTGAGCCACGCAGGCACCCCTGGAGGCTTTTTTACCCTGTGCATCCGCCTTCCCTGAGCCCAGCTCCCCTCTGCTGCCTCGAGAGATGTTCCTCGGCCTCTTTCCAGCCGCTTCCTTCTCCCTCACGCCCTGGTGCGGCAGCCAGCATGTTTTCGCCTGTTGACCTACTAAGACGTTCTTGCTTCCACACGCGTGTAACGGCTGTGCTTTCTGCTCCCTCAGCCGAGCCTTGAGAGGGGCGATGCATCCGGCATTTAGACGTCTGGACCCTGGAGACAGGTCATGCCTGGCTTCCCACCCTGGCTCTCCCATGGCTGTCTCTGTGGCCATTAGCAAAGGACTCAACCTCTCTTTGCAAATCTGGTTGTTTGAAATTTGAATGACTCAGTAAAGCACGGAGCACGGGCTGTGACGGGCACCTCATATGCGTGTGCTGTCGCTGTCCTTCACGCACCAGCGCACCTGAGCTGCCTGCCCCGGAAGCCGCCGGTGCCTCTCCAGCCCCCCAGCCTGCTTTCCCTTGTGTCAGGAAGCCAATGTGGTTTCCCCGCCTGTGCCCTCTTTACATGTGACCTCGAGCCTCACGACGGTGAGGACCTTTTCTGGCTTACCCAGGCTTCCCAGAGCCTGGCGCTGGCCCGGGTGCAGAGTGCACTGGCGTCCAGCTTCCATCTCCCGCAGCAAGTAGAGAGATGACCCTTTCTTTTTCTTTCTTTCTTTTTTTTTTTTTTTAAGATTTTATTTATTTATTTGATGGAGATCACAAGTAGGCAGAGAGGCAGGCAGAGAGGGGGGGAAGCAGGCTCCCCGCTGAGCAGAGAGCCCAATATGGAGCTTGATCCCAGGACCCTGAGATCATGACCTGAGCTGAAGGCAGACGCTTACTGACCAGGCTACCCGGGCACCCCGGGATGACTCTTTGCTCCTGTAGCAGTTTAAGGTACCTGTACTTTAAACCAAAACCCAATTTCCCTTGGCGAGCACGGAATGCCAGCAGAGAGAGCATTTGTAGAGAAATGCAGCGGCCGTGCGTGTTTTGGCGTCACGCTTATATTCTTCTCTGAGGCAGAAGGAAATAACAGGCAGAGCCCTGCTTCCAGAGGAGCTCTGAAAGAAAGGCTGAGTAAGAGCATTTTGTAGGGTGCCTGGGTGGCTCAGTTTTAAGCATCTGCCTTTGGCTCAGGTCATGATCTTAGGGTCCTGGGATCGAGCCCCTGGTTGGGCTCCTTGCTCAGTGGACAGTCTGCTTCTCGCTCTGCCCCTGCCCCCGACTTGTGCTCGCTCACACACTCTCTCTCTCTCCCTCAAATAAATAAAATCTTGAAATGTCATTAAAAAAAAGTGTTTTGAACTTACTGCTTTAGTGTCCCACGGCTCCGTGCCATGGGCTTAGCCAGCCCTCAGTCCTTTCTGCTTCTCTCAGTGATTAATCAACGCTTGGGCGGGTGCAGAGCGTCTCCCTTCCCTTCTTCACGCCACATGAGAAATATTTTGGAGCTAGTCTTAGCGAGAGAGAGAGAAAAGAGTAGAACTGTGTCACTTTGGATATTTGAACTCCTCAGAGCTCCTGTTTTAAGCACTAAGCGTCCTATTAAGTCTTAACAATGGGTTAGGGTAAAACATTGACATCAGTGGAATGTTAAATGGTTATAGGGAAAGGTACCCACATTAAGCAGGTGGATTATGGCGCAGCCTTTAAAGCAAGTGACGGGGCGCCTGGGTGGCTCAGTGGGTTAAAGCCTCTGCCTTCAGCTCAGGTCGTGATCTCAGGGTCCTGGGATCCAGCCCCGCATCGGGCTGTCTGCTCAGCAGGGAGCCTGCTTCCCCATCCCCACCCCCGCCTGCCTCTCTGCCTACTTGTGATCTCTCTCTCTGTCAAATAAATAAATAAAATCTTTATGGAAAAAAAAAATGTTACCAAAAAATAAAACAATTGACAGTTCTAAAGCAGTTAGGAAAATTGTGTAACAATAAATACGATGACAGTGAGATCACAGCTTGCATACAGGCAGGAAGCAGGAGTAACACGAAAGCGTGGCTATCCCAGGGCGCGTGCGTGAGCTGTCTGAGGGCCAAACTGATGGGTGTAACGAGACAGCACAAAACGGGCTCTGAACAACCGTTTGATAGCATTTATAGGTTTGGCTCCGTGGTACTTTTAGAGCTGATCCTGCCTGGGCTCCCCCGTGCATCTGCGGTCCCCTGGGGGAGGTCAGCTGGGGCTTGTCTGCTCTTGGCTGCCCTGGGCGAGGAGCACAGCGGCTTCTCTCCACACAGCTCTCCCGTCCCTGCGGCCGGCGAGTGGGGGCTTGCTCTCCTGCGGTGGCGAGGGGCCAGGAGGGAGGCTGGAAGCTCTGCAGGCCTTTCAGGGCTGGTCTCCAAGTGGCACACGACCGCCTCTGCCACATGTTCGGCCAGAGCAAAGCCAAAGTGAGACGTGTCTGGGCCCAGGCCTTAAGAAACTAGCAGCTTCCACTTCCTTTATGGGAACTCTTGGCGGGAGCCCCAAGCCGCCATGGGACAAGCTTGACTTCTGGGACCATCTTGCTGGAGAAGCCATGTATAAGGCTTGTGTGGGGCGATTGTAGCCATGCCCGCCAAGGTACCAGGCAGGAACGAAGCCTTCTTGGATGTTCCAGGTCGGATCATACACTGAACACCCCCGAGTGTCCTCCAGGTGGCCCCAGTCAGGGCCAGGGGGCAGAAGCATCCTCTACTGAGCCCCGCCCCGAGTCTTTTTTTTTTTTTTAAAGATTTTATTTATTTGACAGAGAGACAGTGAGAGACGGAATATAAGCAGGGGGAGGTGGGAGAGGGAGAAGCAGTCTTCCTGCTGAGCATGGAACCCCATGTGGGGCTCAATCCCAGGACCCTGGGATCATGATGTGAGCCGAAGGCAGACGGTTAACGACTGAGCAACCCAGGTGCCCCCCCGGCCCACGTCTTGGTCCCCAAAACCTCGAGATGGGATTTAGTGGATATTGTCTTAAGTTGCTAACATGGGGCCATTTGCTTTTCAGTATTGGATACCCAGAATATATCTTATCCATCACCTGACCTGAGGATGGTAGGGAAACAGCTCAATATTTTGCAAACTGGTAAAGGGAAAGAAACAAACATTTTGTTCGTCTTTTCTGTATGAACTATGTTTTGAGTATCCAGACTGTTGATGAAGGGGAACTTCTTGTAGAAATATTCCTGCTAACACACAAAGGAGAAATGACAGTGTAGAAACACACCCGTTTTGCCTCCCTTAATGACGTAAGGGTCTGGGCTTGCCCTGTATGGGAGCCACTAACCACAGGACTGATGAGCACTTAAATGTGGCCGGTCCAAATGCAGATGTGCCCCCAGATTGACCTGCAGCTCCCCAGTCTGCAGTCTGACTCCTGATTTACCGGCAGCATGTGGGAGGGGACCGGGAGGGAGGGAGGGAGGGGACTGGGAGGGAGGGAGGGGACACCCGTGCAGCCATGCTGAGTAAGGAACGTGGGAGGACCCCTGGAGCTCCCCTGGAAGACAGGTGACTCAGGGTCTTCAACAAATCAATAGCATAGGAAGAAAGGAGGGAGAAGACAGATGGAAAGAGCCACAGGAGAGAGAAGAGCCTGGCTCTTTGCACAAGCCGTAAGTGAGATTCCTCAGACAGCTAAGGAAGTGAGAGCACCAATGAATATTTGATGATACCAGAAATGACTGTTTTTAGTTATGATAACAGTATCAAGTAGGATATAGTATAATATAAAAAAGAGCCTTTAGCGATTAGAAATGCCGACTGGAATATTTTGGGTGGGACGCTGTGTCTGGAAATCGCTCCCAAGTAAGTCGGCGCTGTGGGGCGTGGGTGGGGTAGGACCACAGCAAGGCTGGCCTCTGGCCGCAGCCGCGACGCCAGTAATAGGGCTCTCTGCACTTTTCTCTGCTTTTGCATGTGGTCGAGCTCTTCCCTCCTAAAACGTTTTAAAACTCCCATTATTCCCATGATTGTAGAATCAAGAGAAACGCTTTGGGTGCTGGAAGCCCTCTGTAGTTGGTGCCTGGGGCCAGTGGAGTGGATTGGGGCCAGGAGCAACAAGCCACTGACAGACAGCCCGCCTCGCCCCTGGCCATGGTTCCAGAGTGAGGGCCGGTCCTGTCCTTCCCGCTCCCTCCCTGCGTCTCTGTGGGGCAAGGAGGGCGGAGAGGGTGGCAGGGAGACTGGCTGTCTTAGAAGATTAGAAGGAACCCCTTTGTCTTTCACCCGTCCTCATTTCATCCAAGTTCTGGCCCATCAGAGGTCTCTGTATGAACACGAAGTACTGACCCAGGGCCCTCAAATCACCCTGTGATTCTGATTTAAAATGGTCCCTGTCCTTCTTGACATTGGGTGAAAATACCGGGTAAATGATTTTGCTGATTTCAGAGTCTGGAGGCAGTCCTTTCATCGGGTTGGCGTCCGCAGTCAGGGTACCTGGAACCCACAAGCATTTAGGACCATCTCCTCTGCGCTGCGGAGTGAAACTGTCCACCACGAGCCTGAGAACAGCCCCCCTGCCCCCCAACAGCTCCGGGCCCAGCCAGTCACTGGACGCCACCCTGTGTGGCACTGGACCAGGCGTCTCCTGGCCCGCATGCTGGGGGTGGAGGGAACGTCGCCAGCTTTGACGAGCCCTGCCCCCACGTGGACCCGCTCTGAGCTTGTGCCCCGCACACCCCTTCTGTGCTTCCCTTATAGGATGAGTGTACAAACCATCCGGAACGTTTTTAGTGTCGAAACTGGCTATCGGCTCTCAGACGATCAAATAGTGAACCATTTTCCGAACCACTATGAGCTGACCCGGAAGGACCTGATGGTGAAGAATATTAAAAGATACAGGAAGGAGCTGGAGAAGGAAGGGAGCCCTCTAGCAGAAAAAGACGAAAATGGGAAATACCTCTATCTGGGTTTGTGCCTTTCTCGCTGGCCCCAGGTTTGAAACAAATCCCTGAGTTCCCTAGTGACACCGGGTACCAAGACGGGGACATGCCCGTGCTGGCCGGGCTGGGCACCTCTTTCATTCCACGTCTCCAAAATGGCAGGGTGGGGGCTCATGTTGGGATCTGCGTTTCTGGGAGCATCTTGGGAACGCGGTGCCCGTGCAGGAGCACGAGACCTTGGCGCGCAGGTGGCGGGAAGCCTGTTCCAAGCGGCAAGCTGCATTTTGTAATGAGGCTCATCGCTGCATCTGGTGGTTCCCAGGGAGAGATGCATCCCTGTTCTGGTCTGGTGGTAAAAGCTGGACTGTGGGATAGTTTCAGAATCCCTCTACCTACCCAGGAAAATTAGATGACCCTCTGACATCTCACTGGGCCTCAGTTTCCTCATTTGGTAAATGGGAATGATAACAGGACCTAGCCCACAGGGGGCTGTGGGGATTAAAGGTTTGCGAAGGGCTTAGCACAGAGGTGATAAGGTTATCCTGCAGGAATTGAATGGCAGAGGGCTTGTCCTTATGATCCTGGCGGGGGGGCGGGGTGGCAGGGGGCGTGAAGCATCCGCAGAAAAGGCAGGGGCCATGTGTCTCTGCCCGTGGGCACGTTGGGGTGGTTCACCCACTGCTGTCCCTTCTGCTTCCCCTTTCAGACTTTGTTCCAGTCACCTATATGCTGCCCGCCGACTACAACCTGTTCGTGGAAGAGTTCAGGAAGAGCCCCTCCAGCACCTGGATCATGAAACCTTGCGGCAAAGCCCAGGGGAAGGGCATCTTTCTGATCAACAAGCTCTCGCAGATCAAAAAGTGGTCCCGGGACAGCAAGACGTCTTCGTGAGTGCAGGGCCCACCCATCCAGGGGGCTTCCGAGTTGGGAGTTCCGGGCCACCTGGTCAGTCTTGCCTGGCGGCCGGGGACCCTTGCTTGCTTCTGTAGGTGTATGGCGTTCGCCACATGGCGGGCACCACAGCAGGGTTCCGTGGCTGCCGTCGTGTGATGATTGTAGGATCCCACCTGAGGCAAGTTGCAAAGGGAAGTAGTGTGTGAACCAGCATACGGTCCCAGGAGCCGGGACCCTTGTGGACTGTTCTTTGTTCTGGAAGTTTCTGTGAGACCCACTCAGTACTGGACTTCTGAGGTAGTAAAGTATCCACTTAAGATCTGGGCCCAGCGTACGTGGCTTCAAATCCCTGTCTACACTTACTGAGTACGTTTTGTCTCGGTAGACGCTTACATGCCTCATCCGGGTAGACGGCGGACGCCAACAGCACCACCCCTGTGGGGACAAGATGGGGATGGAACAAGTGAACCCGTGCGAGGCACACAGGAGGGTGTGCAGTCAGTGGGGGTGGTGCTAGGCTGTGTCAGGTCAGCTCTCTGCCCGGGGTTTGAGGGCTCCTTGGAACTGAGGGTACCAGTTTTTTGCCTGGGCCTCCCCTAGTCTCTGAGGGTCCTGACCTGCTTGTCAGTGCTGGACAGTGATCCTCTCCTGGGGGCTGGTGGCTCACTGTCAGGGTTCTCAGGAGTGACAGGGTCACCTTCTCCTCGTGCAGAGAATTTAAGTCCGAGTGCACACTGCTGACCCCCTCATGGGTCGGGTCCAGGGAGCATGTCCCTGGTGGGCTCCAGGGGCCGCTGGCATTGTCCTCTGGGGGCAGGGCATAGGCTCGGGGGCTCTTCCATGGATCCACCTGACCCTGTTTTCTCCCCGACATACCAGCCTCTCACTTAATGAGTGGCAGAAGCTTGTTACCAACCTTTGGTCTTTGCATCTAACTTTGACCTTCTCTGACATGTTCAGGTTCGTGACTCAGTCTACCAAGGAAGCCTACGTGATCTCCCTCTACATCAACAACCCACTGCTCATTGGCGGGAGGAAGTTTGACCTCCGCTTGTATGTCCTGGTGTCCACGTACCGCCCGCTGCGCTGCTACATGTAAGGGCCACCAGCGTTTTGCCTGGAGCTTTGACCGCCCAGGGTAGGCCACTCCTCAGAGACATAAGGCAGCTCGGCGTTGGCCCAGCCCTGGCTTGGGGGGTGACTGCTAATGGTCCCAGGCTTTCTCTGTGGGGTGACGAACGCGGGAAATCGAGTGGCAATTGTCACACACCTCTGAGGGTACCAAGAACCACTGAGCTGTGTGCTCTAGCTAGGTGAAGGAGTTCTGTGGCATGTGAATTATATCTTAGTAGGACGGTTATTAAAAAGAACAATAGAAAATAAAAAAGAAGCTCTTCTTGAAAAAGGCTTAAAACCCCCCAAAATAATAGCAATAAAAAAATTAAAAGGCTTAAAACCAAAAACAGGGGCTCTTTAAAGGGAACAATGTATTCTATATACATATATTTTTAAGGTTTTATTTATCTGAGAGAGAGAAAAGTGCAGGAGCAGGGGAGGGGCAGAGGGAGAGGGAGAAGCAGATTCCCCCGCTGAGCAGGGAGCCCGACCCCAGGACCCTGAGAGCATGATCCGGGCCGAAGGCAGACGCTTCACCGACTGAGCCACCCAGGCGCCCCACAGCCTTGTGTTTTCCTGATGCTTCTCCTCAGAGTGTTGACGTAGTCTCCCTTCCCACGTAGGTATAAGCTCGGATTCTGCCGCTTCTGCACCGTGAAGTACACGCCGAGCACCAGCGAGCTAGACAACATGTTCGTTCATCTCACCAACGTCGCCATTCAGAAACACGGGGTAAGTGCGTCCCTCTCTCGAGCTGGAGGAAATGGGCCCATTGTGTGGGTTTCTTTCTATTTGCCAGAGAGGGCAGGTGGTCACAGGGGTGGAATTCCAGATGCTCTGGCACAGCCTCGGTTCGGGGGCTCATGGAGAAAGAAAGGCCCGAGGTCAAGCCCTGTGTTTCTGGTCCCGTGACCTGGGGCAAGCTGAGTCTCCGAGCCTAGCGTGGGTTTCTCATTTATAAAAGGCGGTGATGCCCCTCCCTCGTGGAGTGGTGGGAGGGGGCACATGACTCGCTGAGCGCCTGTCTCGGTTGGTCCCGTGCTGAGCGCCCGGGCTACACCGATGGGCAGAAACTCGCTTGGTCCCTCCTCAAGGAGCCTGGGCCTGTCAGGGGGAGATAGGTGTCGAGGACTGCGTAATCATGAACCGAGATGTGCGCTCTGAGACCAGAGAATGCACGTCTAGAAGAGCTTGGGATGAAGGGGTCCCTCATCCAGGCGGCTGGAGAAGCCCTCCGTGCAGCAGTGGAGTGGTGTCTGAGCAGAGACCCGCCGTGTGAGCGGGGCTGACCCAGGTCGGGAAAGGGTTTTGGGGCAGAGGGGACAGCATGGGCCGGGCCCCGTGGCAGGAAGGAGCACTGCAGGGGCTGTGAGCAGGTCAGGGTGGCTGGAACCCCCAGAGCATGGGTGGCGGAGTGAGGTCAGCGAGGGCCGGGACGCAGGACGCAGGTTCTGTGTGGACTTTGGGCCTTTCCTCGGGTCCTAACAAAAATGGTCGGAAGGTCTCATTTCCTTATGAGAGATTCTTCTGTTTGGATCTTGCTTGATTGGAAGCTTTGTACCTAGGTCCTTTTTTAAATGTTATTTGAGTGGAAAGAGGGTAAGTGTTGATAGAAAACAAGCTTTTTTGGAGAACCTACTGAAAGGTTTGGTCAGACCAGTCTGGGCTCTATCCCCCGTCCATCCCTTACCCTCCATGTGACTTGGGCAAGTCACCCCGGCCTCCCTGGGGCACCTCATCTGCCAGCAGGACCCCTGGTATTACGTTGCTGGTCACCATTTACTGAGGGCCTCGCCGGTCTTCTGGGTAAAGCGGACCCTGATTCACCGCCGAGCAGGTCCCCCTGAGAGCAGACTGGTGAGCACCACTGTCACACGTTCAAGGTTAGAGGAGCAAGGATGGCTTGGCCAGAACCTTATTTGTAAGAATTAGGAAGATGAGTCTCGTGGAACGCGGCACAGAACTGGTCAGCTATTTGGAGAAAGCTGAGCAGTGACATCAGGCCCTTTGTCGCCAAGTCGCACATTAGCGAGGTCTGGGAGTGGGCTGGGACATGACAGCGCCGACCTAAGTCCACTGGGTGTTCCTGAGCGCGTTGGCTAGCTAATCCGCGGGGGCGGGGGAGTGCGGGCGCTGGGGAGCCACAGTGACATTGGGAGGGCCCCATTCGATGGGCCTTCTCAGGACACCAGTCAGCTGAGTTCACCAATAAGAAACAGAAGCCTTTTTTTTTTTTTAATCCACGGAAGGAGAGAGCAGAGGGCAGGCCTGTTAGCTTAGCATCTCAGCAATGTGCCAGAGGTTCTATTTGTAAATGCTTTGCTTGGGAACGTGAGAAAGTGCTGACTTTGAGTTTCATTCCTGAGTAGCAGCCTCGCATGGCTCTCATTTAGACTTTGCGTGAAGGGCAGATGTGGCACCAGACACCGAAATGCTCAAGTTGTCCGTCGAGTGCACCCACCGGCATCCCGGGGTGCAGAGCTCAGCCCGGTGCCTGGGTCAGAGACCGCAAAGGGGCATCCCCACCCTCAGAAGTTCAAGGGAGAGCAGGGGAGGCAGATGGCAAAGGACCGATGACAAGGGAGGCCTCGGGGCTGGGGTAGGGGTGCAGGCGTGTGGGTGGGAGGCCCACCAGGAGGCAGATGGATCCAGCAGGCAGAGAAGGGGATGGAAAGAGGAGGCGTGCACCTGGACGTGGGCAGTGTTTGCAGATTGACTGATTAAGTGTTCTGAAATAAATCTGATAAAATAATGTTCCTGATGTTCATAAAGCAGGAGACGTTCCCTGCTTTTTATATCTACGCGTGTGTAAGGCAGTGTTTTGTTGTAGATACTTTATACCTCTAGAGCTTTTAAAATATTTATTTATTTAATTTTGTGAGAGAGAGCGCATGAGCGGAGGGCGAGGGAGAGGGAGAAGCAGTCTCCCCGCTGAGCAGGGAGCCCAGTGCGGGGCTCGATCCCAGGACCCCAGGATCATGACCCGAGCCGAAGACAGGCACTTCACCGACTGAGCCCCCCAGGTACCCCTTGTCCCCACTTCTCATCTTTATACTTAGGGAAACGAAACCTGGTCTCATAACCTCCTGATGTACTTCAGGGTTTTCTAGCTTTTTGTCTCCAAAAGAGAGCCTTGGGTAGAGAGTCAGTGTTTGGGGTCAGAGGCATGGAAAGAGCAGTGGTTGAGGGTGAGAAAGCTGGGCTCGGTGCCAGCTGCCTCACGGCCTGGGTGGAAGCTCGGGGCAGTCACATAAGCCCTCTGACCCTGAGGCTCCTACCCACGGATGGGACGTCGTGAGGAGTCACGTGGGTAGTGCTCTTGGACCACAGTGCCCGGTGCTGGCGTGCGGCTTCTTTAGAAGCAGACTTGCAGGCAGAGATGAGTGCACAGGGGGTCTGCTGGGGCAGCACTGGTGGGGGAGTCCAGACAGGGCGGAGGGAGAGTCGAGCTGGGATGCAGCTGCTGTGGGATGCCTGGAACTGGGCCGTCCTGCAGAGCCACCCGCGATGGATCAGGGACTAAGGGGCCCTGCACTGGGCTGCTCCCATTAGCCACGGGTGGCTCCAGAGAGGGTTTCTGCCAGAAGAGTGTCTGGGCTCAAACTTGGGATCTGGGTGGCACTCTGCAGCATGCACCACAAGGCGTGGATTACTAATCGTGAGTGTTAAGTACTAGAGGTGAGTAGTTTGAAACATACCCAGGGTGCCTGGGTGGCTCAGCTGTTTGGGCAACTACCTTCAGCCTGGGTCATGATTCTGGAGTCCTGGGATCGTGTCCCACATCGGGCTCCTTGCTTGGCAGGGAGTCTGCTTCTCCCTCTGACCCACCCCCTTCTCGTGCTCTCTCTCTCTTTCAAATAAATATATAAAATCTTTAAAAATAAAATAAAATAAAAATTAAAAAATAAAACATCCCCATATAGGGGGCACCAGCACATGTTCTAGGGGGACGAGCAGGTGCTAGATTTCTCAGGATGCATGGCCTGGGACACTGTGCCCTTTGCTGTCACCAGGAAGACTATAACCACATCCACGGGGGCAAGTGGACCGTGAGCAACCTGCGGCTGTACCTGGAGAGCACCCGCGGCAAGGAGGTGACCGGCAAGCTGTTCGACGAGATCCATTGGATCATCGTGCAGTCGCTGAAGGCCGTGGCGGTGGGTGCCGGGCCGTGGCGGTGGGTGGCCAGCCGGGGGGCACTGGGCGGGGCCTGTGAGCGGAGAGCCGCCAGGTGCCGGCAGCGGGGATGCTTGTTTTCTTGCCACAAAGACTTGTCTTTACGGGCTCACCTCCCTCGTGTGCACGTGTCTGCCGGAGGCTGAGGCGGCTTCGGGCCCAGCTTCCAGAGAGGTGCTGCGTGGGGCGCGTCAGGGGCCAGACGAGTCCCACTGGGTTCCCGGCAGCTCCCCTGGGCCCGTGGATGCAGGAGGCGTACTTCGGCGTGAGCGGGCGGTCAGGGGTGGCCTTGCGGTGGCCTCCCGGTATTTCGGCCTCCGGCTCTGTGACATCGTGGGTATCCGGACACCGCCTCTCTGTTTGTTGCCTCAAGTCTGCTATTTGTTGGCTGGTTTGTGTTTTTTGTTTGTGTCTTATTTTACTGTTCAAAGCAGATGGGCGTGTTTTTGAGGGAAAGGGAAAGGAGTCGACCCCGGGCCACCGGCACGTGGGCCGCTGTGTTCAGAGCTTCACGTGTGGCTCCCAGATGCTCGGCACCTGTGACTTATAGTGAAATGGAGGCTCAGCCCCGGAGCATGGACGTGCAGGGACAGGCATTGGGGCCCAGGCCTGCCGAGGGGGCCCCCGACAGACTGCCCTACGGCTGTGGGACCTGAGGGCACTCGGCCTGGCCCGGGGACTAGACAGCATGTCCTGTGTGGAGTGGATGCCCTCCTCAGAGCCTCGGAGGCCTTCTCTGTGGAACTGGGAGACAGCGGGCTGGGGGTTGGAGAGTTAGCAACTTCCTGTCCTGCAGAGGCTGCTGGGACAGTGGGGTGGGCAGTGGCCGGGGAGGGGTCGCACCCCAAGCTCTCCGGGGAGATGCAGTTCCACTGACTCCACTGCCTCCCGACCCCTGCCTGGTTTTCCTCCAGAGGGTCAGGCTGGACTGGCCTGTCTCCCCTCAGGAGTTTGAGTTCTAAGTCCAGTGTTCAAAGTAGAGCCAACACACCCACTAAGGCTTAAAAAGGCCTTGCTGTCGTGTCTGTGTGCTGCTCTCACTGTGGGGTGCACGAGGGTCCCCAGGGCACACGGGACGTAGCTGCTTGCTGGGCCTTCCCACTGGTTTTGATCCAGGCAGGCGGGGCTGGGCCTGGGAATCCGCACTGTGAGCGGCCAGCAAGGTTTCTGATGTACCCGGAGACCAGTTTATGAAGGAGAATTGAACATTGAAAAGAAAATCCAAAATTCAGCAGTAAATGCATTGACTTGTCACGGAGAGCAGAGGTTCATGACCGGGCACCCCGCATCCTTAAGGGCCCGAGAAGGGCCTGGCAGCCTGGTGGATAGCGTCCGTGTGTTTGCGATGAGAGATTGCACAGGCTGAACTCTGTGTGCCGGCTGTGGAGCCAGACTTGTGTCCGCTCCGGGGACAGTCCTACGTGGACAGAGACGCCGCTGCTCAGATCAGGCCTCAGATGAGTGAGGCCCGGAGACCCCCGTGATTGCTTCGGGATGTCGCCTGTCGGCGGCTGAGTGCAGTTTCCGAGTCTGAGCCGAGGAGGGGGAGGAACTGGCAGGGAGGGAGGGTAGCCCTGGGGGTGGAGGAAGGCGCGCTGGCCTGGGCAGTGAGACTCCTGCACCCAGCACCGCCAGGAGGTCACGGGGCCCCACCGCCTGTGGCCTCTCTGCTGGTGTTGTCAGCCAGGCCTCCTTGGGCCACCACGCAAGCCGCTTCCTCTCTTGTAGCCGGTGATGAACAACGACAAACACTGCTTCGAGTGCTACGGGTACGACATCATCATCGACGACAAGCTGAAGCCCTGGTTGATTGAGGTAACCTTGCGGCTGCAGCCCCAGCAGCTGCCTCTGCCCATTTCGCCCTGGAGCCTCTGGGCAGGCCCCGGGCCGATGCTGCTGAGGAGGTGGAACGGGTCGGTGCGCAGGCGCCACAAGCTTGCAGGTGGACAGGGAGCCACTCCCCATCTCTTGGCGCTGAGCCCGGATCACTCAGCCGAGCTCAGTGCCATGGTGCTCCCGGGTGCTTCCGGACACGTCGTGCCCTGGAGGCCCTGTCCTATCCTCATGAGGACATTGTTGCTATTCAGGAAAGGAGCTCCCAGACCCGGAAGCCTGTGGGAGGCGGTAGCCTACCGGCCAGAGATAAGGGATATTATCTTGCCGTCGCTGAGGCATACTTTGGGAGTGGATCCCTCTGCCTCTTTCGAGGCGTGCACGGACTGTGGCTGTGGCCGGCCTTGGGGCACACATCGTTTCCCTGGCGACAGGCCTGGGCGATGCTTGCCTCAGCCGCCATGGGCGCTGGCGGACACGCCTGAGGCCCAGAGCCTACCTTGCTGGGGTTGCCCTGCTTTGCTCTGTGGCCAGAGAGGGGCTTGGGGCTCAGGGGACACATGCCATGAGGACGAGGGCCGTCTGTTCCGTTGGTTTGTCTCCTTGTGTGTCCTTGTCCCCCGAGCACTGGCCAAGCTAGGTGGCTCACGTCCTTTAGCTCAGTCCCATTTTGAGCCAGGAAAGTTGAGTCTCAAAAGGAGGTCATAGTGAGTGGTCCCTTGTAGGGAAGTGCAGTGGGAGCCCTTACAGGAAGCTGCTGGGAGAGCCGCCTCATCAGAGAGCAAACTGTTCTGGAACAGTATTTTCCAGGCTACTTGTTATCTGCCAAAACTGTTGGCGGGGTGGGGGGGTGGGGGTTGGGCGTGCATGGAGATATATGTAGAGATAGAGAGGGATTTGCAGGTGCACATATGAAATGTTTCTGTGTTCTCTTTTAACATTTTCAAAGTCCACTGTGCAACCCATTGTGCTATGGAGCATTTTTTTCCCATTAAAAAAAAAGTAACTTGAATGGAAGTCAAGCTTTCCTTGACGAGCTAGATCGTAATTGTGAATAACACTGTAACGTAATAACAGACCTTAATTTTAGCATACTTATGATAATTTTGGCGTTCTGGTATGGGAGCATAGTAATTCCAAGGGCGCCTGAGGTTCGTACAGTCCCTTTCACTGTTGTTCGTTTGCCACTCTGCTGGCAGCTCAGAGACAGAGTCTGGCTGTTCGGGAGAAACCTGAACCACTGCAGACTTGCTGCTCCGCTCTCCCGAGGCTGAGGGAACAGCTAACCAAGAGCGTTACAGCTGTGCCTAAAGTAAGAGTAAGTAGGTTGTAACTGAGGTCCTGTGGGTCTCTCCACACAGTAAGTGCATTTTAACCTGTGGACGTTTGACATTGCTTAGCAGCTCAGGGACCTTAGGGGACTAACTTTCTGTCTTTCAGATGGGTTCCTAATTTGGCAGAATATTGCTTTGTTGGTGACATAATTATTCCCTTCGCCAAAAAGGGGCCCCCTGGGATACGTGGGCGGCTCAGTCGGTAGGTAGAGAATCCGACTCTTGATCTCGGGGTCTTGAGTTCGAGCCCCATGTTGAGTACAGAGACTACTCAAAGGGGGGGCATTACTTTTTACTCCAACCCCACGATGCTGCTTGGTCAGGGTGATCTGGTTCACTGATTCCAGCAAATCTAGGGGTGGGGGGGAGCTTTCAATACTTGAGACAGAGCTCATCACACAGGTAGACACGGAAGTTGTATTTGTGACCTACAGTCACTTGACATTTTTTTAAAAAGATTTTGTTTATTTGACAGAGAGAGAGATGGTGAAAGAGAGAGCACAAGTGCAGGAGAGCTGGAGAGGGAGAAGTAGGCTCCTCACTGAGCAGGGAGCCCGATGTGGGGCTTGATCCCAGGACAATGGGATCATGACCTGAGCCGAAGGCAGACGCTTAACAACTGAGCCACCCAGGCACCCCATCATTTTTTCCAAAGATTTTAGACTCCAGTTTCTCCCAAACAGCCAAACTCTGTCTCTGTGCTGCTAGCAGAGTAGCTAACGTACAACAGTGCAAGGGATCACGATCTGAGCCAAAGGTAGACGCTTAACCAACTGAGCCCCCCTGGGCACGCCTTCACTTAACATTTTTATTTGTGTGATAAGTGATTTGCAAGTCATAATCGCGGCCTGTTTCCAATATTATTTATATTTCATCCAATAGCTAATGAAAACAGATCCAAAAATCCTTCCTATACGAAGTACTGGAGGATATTAGATACGAACAGTATGACATGACAGCTTGACCCAAAGTGTGTGGTAGCTGGCATTTTCCTCAGCAGCGCACGTGTTCACGCCGCAGGAGTCCGCCGTCCCAGTGAAGAACGCGGTTCCTTTCCTCTCCCAGGTGAACGCGTCCCCGTCTCTCACCTCCAGCACCGCCAACGACCGAATCCTGAAGTATAACCTGATCAACGACACTCTCAATATTGCGGTCCCGAACGGCGAGATTCCAGACTGTAAATGGAACAAGTCGCCCCCGAAGGAAGTCCTCGGCAATTACGAAATCCTGTAAGTCCATGGGCAGACTGGGCAGCTGTCCTTGTGCGTTTTGGGTCGAGGGACGCCACGGCCCAACGTGGATTTTCTACACATGTGGACTTGCCTTGGGCCAAGTATTTCATTTATTATCAGTGTTACAGGATAGGTCGTGTTGAGGCAGAAAAACGTGTCTTAAACTAGGGCTTTGTCTCGGTCTTTTGCTTGATCAATATTGATGAAGTGTTTGCCACCTGCTGGGCACCACGTGAGCCGCTGGGGCAGGTGGGAGCAGGTGGGAACAGGTGGGAGCAGGAGAGCTCTATGGCTTACCTTCTCTGGGCCACCATGGAGCAGAGAGCCCTGGCGCACACCTGGGCTCCAGCACTTGGAGCTGTGGGACCCTGATGAACTCTCTGCAGCTCTTCGAGCCTCAGTGTGTCCCACTTGAGTGGGGCTCCTGCAAGCGATCTCACAGAGTTGGGAAGGCGAGAATGTTTGTGATGATTGCTGACAGCTGAGGGCTGCCCACATGCCCCAAATTGTGCAGAGCTTCATTTCCCCAGAGACCTCCTGAGGTCAGTGTTGTCATGAGCACCCTCTCACGCATGCGGAAACAAGGTTTGGAGAGGTACAGTGGCCTCTTGGTGGTGACCGCGAGTGGGAGCAGCGTGAGAGCCTGTCAAGGGGACAGTGGTTGAGTGATGTACCATTGGTTTGTACTGTGGGATAGTGAGTGACCGCTGAGAACATGGCCCAGGAGCTCTGGTGGGGCCTGGGGGGCTTCGGGAGGAAAGCTCGTTGTAGAGAAGGGTGCGCAAGGGACACGTGTTCACTTGTCTGTATTGGCTGCGAGGTCTGGAAGGGGAGCTGGAGAAAAGACGAAACAGTGCCCCAAATGGAAGGGGCATATGTGTTAGGGTCACGTTAGTCTTTCTGTAAAAGTAAAAATGCACATTTAACGTTTCGAGAAAACAAAGGAAGAAATTTGTAGTGAACCTCGTGTGCCACACGCCGATCCCAGGCGGGCATTATGGGCGTGGGGACTTGGACTCCAGAGCCCACGGCTGACGGCGCTGTCTCCGCCCTGCGTGCCCTTGACGTATGCGCACAGCATCGGGGAGGGTGGAGGGTCAGCTCAAAAGGGCAGTGTGGGGCCTCCGGGGCAGTGGTGGGGAGCTACGAGTATGACCACTCAGCGTGGGGGGTGGTTTTCTCCAGCCACGGGCAGTGGTTAAGTGAATAAGTGCAGGGTGAGCCGAGGGTGGGAAGTGGCCAGCACTGGGGGCTTGTCGGGCAGGGAGGAGGGTGAGAGGGGAGGACGGTGGGGGGCAGTGGGAGGGGACTGGAGGTCCTGGTGCTTGCGGGCTGCTGGGCTTGGGGCACAGGGGTGCGAGTGGGGGAAGAAGAGGCAGAGGTCAGAGGGAGGGTCTGCAATCCGGGCTTTGTGGGATTGCGGTTACTGGACACAACAAGGTCGGGGGCCGTGGGAACGGGCCTGAGCTGAGGCGGAGGACGAGGTCATGGAGGGGGTGCAATGGGTCAGGGAATTGGGGTCTCTTCGTCTGGTCATTGCTCTGACCAAGAACTGTGAGCCAGGGGCCTGAATCGTAAGGAATTAGGTTACAGGTAACTGCACAAGGCACGTGGTGGATCCTGCTGACCTGGGAGGGGGGCTTTGTGGGGGGGCTCCTTCCAGACCCAGGGGCATGACGGGTACGAGGGAAAGCACCCCCGCTGGAGGGGTGGCAGAGAAGCCGTGTCTTCAGGGAGAGCCGGGGTTTAGTGCAGGAAGGTGCAGAGGACGTTCCAGGATGAGGTGGGGAATCGGGGGTTTGCAGGTGACCGGTGAGTTCTGAGGGGATCAGTCTTCCACCAGCCAGCGTGGCGGCAGGCCGGGCTCTCGGGAGCCCCGGGGCTGTTGGGGGAGGGCGGCAGACACCCCACTTCCGGTTAAAGACAGAGTCTGAGCCTCATTGCTGTTAGCTGACAAAGCAAAAAGGTGACCCCCCCAACCCGCTCGGCACCCCCCACCCCTGTGAGTAAGGAGGGCTCCCCCACAGAGCTGATCGATCCAGGCGCTTCCACGCAGGCCTGCTCCCCAGTGCTCAGAGGACCTCAGGGTCAGGAAGCCCGTTGCTGGCTCCCAGCCACGGCCTCCTGCAGCGGTAGCCGGCTGCGTGGGCACAGAGGGCCCGGACTTTCTACCGCGTCGGTGCTCTGCCTCCCGTGGGGGGCTCGCAGCGGTCTCCAGAGTGTGCCAGAAGCAAGAGGAGGAAGCCCGGTGCCAGTTAGCCGCCCGAGGTCATGCTGCCGGTGCTGGCCCCCAGAAGTAGGTGCTCTTGTTGCCCTGATCGCCATCCTGGCCTTCAAGCCATGCGGCCTGGCTTTCTGCGTCTACAGCCTCCAGGGCCCAGGGCTGAAGCTGCTGGGTATACGCTTGGACAGCCTTTAAAGCCCTACTGTCCAGGCGCGCCTGGGTGGCTCAGTCCGTGAAGCATCTGCCTTCTGCTCAGGTCACGATCTCAGGGTCGTGAGATGCAGGGTCCAGCCCCACATCAGGATCCCTGCTCAGCCCAGAGTCTGCTTGAGATTCTCTCTCTCCCGCTGGCCCTCCCCCCACTCACTCTCTCCCTCTTTAAATAAGGTAATTGATCTTTATTTTTTTTTTTAAGATTTTATTTATTTTACAGAGAGAGAGGGAGAGGGAGAGAGAGGAAGTGGGCACATGAGCAGGGGCAGAGGGAGAGGGAGAAGCAGGCTCCCCACTGAGACAGGAGCCTGATGTGGGACTTGATCCCAAGGCCCTGGGATTGTGACCTGAGCTGAAGGCAGCCGCTTAACCAACTGAGCCACCAGGCATCCCTGATCTTTTTTTTTTTAAACTTTTATTTATTGATTTGTGCGAGAGAGAGAACAGGCACGTAAGCAGGCTCCCCGCTGAGCGAGGAGCCTGATGTGGGTGGGGCTCAACCCCAGGACCCTGGGATCATGACCTGAGCTGAAGGCAGATGCCAACTGAGCCACCCAGGCGTCCCAATAAATAAATCTTTAATCTTTCAGTGACTGCAACCCCCTTGTTATTCTGCTCGAATGAAAAGGGGCCCTAGGAGACCATCCCAGCAGCACCCCTGGGAACAGCCCATCCCAGAGCCCCACTGCTTGCCACAGGCACAGCGAGGCTGGTGAGCCCTGTGTGGTCCTTCCCCCCACTCCCCCCCCGGTCGTCAGTGCATTCTTCCTGCACACCCACCCAGCAGTGAGGTGCTGGGGGGAACTGTGAGCCAGACAGATGGGGGTCACTGCAGTCCTCAGGTCAGTGATGGAGACACAGAACCAGCAACAGACTGCTAATGGGGAGTGCTAACCTGTGAGTGGGGAGTCAGGGGCTCTAGCAGTCCTTGGGGTGGGGAGGGACCCCCACAGGCAGAACCTCCCTGGGGAGTCCTCCCTGCAGCATCATCTCTCCTTAAGGAGACAGGGGAGAGGAGGGCCCTCCGTTGTTGCCCTGATCCCCATTCCAGAAGAGGGAAACCCCGTAGTGTCTGCCATGTGGGTAACAGTCAGCAAACTGGCCTTCTTCCTCCTCGCCTTTCCCTTGCGGCCCCCCATTTGCCAGCAGAAGCACAAGGCAACAAATATGTTCTTCAGCTTCCGAAGCTTCTCCCCCACGCTACTCTCAGCTTGCGGATTCCGATTCTGGGAATAAATGTAGAACAGAAATAGCTCCTTTTCGAGAAGTCAGCAAAATTCAGCTAACGCAACCTAATTGAGCAGCATCGTACCTTTCACATTGGACACGAACATCTACTTACTACAGAGGCTCCTCAGGGCGTGGCCACCAAAGGACACCTAGGAAGGAGGTTTACTAGGGAACAGAAATGTTTTTCATGCTCTTGATCCACAGGGTTAAAAGGCCCCAATTAAGAATCTGAAGTCTTGAGATTTATTTGATCCCACAGACCTTCGGACACTGAGTAAACCTCTCCCCAGGGTCAGATGGAAAGTGGGGATCCATCAGGAGAGTGATGGGAAGTCACCGGGGGATTAGGAGACCCCATCACCAGAGCCTGCACCTGCCAGGCCCCACAGGGGGTGCAGTGACATTTCTCCAGCCTCGCGGACCCCTTAGGAGGGGCTCACTGTGGCGAGAGAAGCCAGGGACTACCCAGACGTCCGAATCGGGCAGCGGCATCCGCGATTCTAGTTCCATCCTTTCTGAGGCAGAAGCCCAGGCTCTGTGTCCTACACAGGCCATGCTTTCACACCGCACAGGTCTGGCGCGTGAATGCTAGTGGGCCAATGCAGGGGAGGCGTCAGCTGGTGCGTGCTCGATCTGGCCTTTCTTGCAGAGGTGACCTGCTCACCCTGTCCTGGTCCCCTCCCCCCGGGTGAGTCATTCGCACCCTGTTCCCCATCTGAAGTGGGTCCGTCATACCTGCCCCCAGATGCTGTGTGTAAGAGTATTTCCAGACATCTGTCCTCTCCCTCACCTCCCTGGTGTCTCATGTTTCCTTGGGGGTCACTGCCGACTTCCACCTGGTAGGAGGCCTTGAGGAAACGTCGCCGGCAGGAGCGGGAACAGTTCGCAGAGTAATTTAGCAAGTCTGTACCCGCCTGCTCTGGTGTCTCAGGCAGGGTCTGGTGGGCTGGCAGGCGGGAGGCATGTAGGGGGGTTGGGGGCGGGCAGGCTGCTTCCCTGGGCGACGTGGGATTTACGGGATTGGCCGTGCTCGGTGCTGCTGCAACTTCTGCCAAACCCTGAAGGTGATCCTCTGTTTCCAGCTATGACGAAGAGCTGGCGCAGGGCGATGGCACTGACCGAGAGCTGAGAAGTCGTCAGGGCCAGTCGCTGGGGCCCAAGGGGGGCCGGTCTCGAGACTCGGGCAGAACCGTCCTCACCACCTGGAAGTGAGCACCAGTCACCGCGAAAGACGGCGAGCCAGACCCTGCCGGATACTCAGTGCACCTGGGCCCGTTCCAAAATTTTCCTTTTTCTAGAGCTTTTTCCCCCCTTTCCTAAGCGCTGTAAATAAAGGCACTTCTTTGGAAGGTTAAGGAGTCTCCTATGAGGAAAAGATGCCCCGCTTCTCCTCCCCTCTCACACAGTACCTCTGAGACCAGATGTGTGGGGATTTTCCCCACACCCAGCCCTTCTGTGCTCCTCTGGCTGGTGCTGGGTGTCCACGATTTCTCTCCATTTTGATACCATCTGCCTGGAGATGGCGTCTGATCCCACCGGGGAAGGGCCCAGTCCCGCAGAGCTGTCCCCCATGCCCCCGCACTCCCATAACCTCAGAAGCCGATCCTGGTTGTCTCCCGTACTCCTGACCTCCCTGCTCTAAGTGGGAGGTTCCCACCACCTTTCTCAAGCCCCACCGAGGGCTTCATTCCTTGGCCAGAGTGGCTCACGGGACTCAGGAAAACCGTTCAGCTGCTCGATTACCCATTTCTCATGAACGATGCAACTGGGATCAGCCCGATGGAAGAGATGCAGGAGGCAAGGTATGGGGGAAGGGGTGGGGAGCTTCTGTGCCCTCCCTCGGTACGCTGCCCTCCCAGCGCCTCCCGGGGTGGTGACCAGCCTGGAAGCTCTCTAAAGTCCGTATTCGAGATTTGTGAAGGTTTCATTATATGGCATCTGTTGGTTAAATCATTGGCCATCGATGATTGATTCAACCTTTAGCCCCACCTCCTCCCCAGGAGCTGGGGGGCAGCGGCTGGAAGTGCCCACCCCAGCCACTGGGTCAGCCATCAGCGCAAACTGGCTTGGTTGAAAGGGGCTCATTAGGAATAACAGAAGACACCCGTTTCTCTTTTACTACCCGGGGCTATTTCAGGAACGGGGGACAAAACTAAGTATTCTAACAAAAAGCTGTCCCTGTCGCTCTTGGAAAGGAAAGGACAGGGGTTTTAGGAATAGAGACCAAATCTCTATTTCTTTCTTTTTTTTTTTTAAATTAAAAGATTTTATTTATTCATTTGACAGAGAGAGACACTCAAGAGAGGGGAACACAAGCAGGGGTAGTGGGAGAGGGAGAAGCAGGCTTCCCAAGGAGCAGGGAGCCTGATGCAGGGCTCGATCCCAGGACCCTGGGTTCACGACCTGAGCCGAAGGCAGACGCTTAACCGACTGAGCCCCCCAGACGTCCCTATATTTCTTATTATAAATCACAACACCCCATTTCCATTTCATCAGGGCTGGAAGAACCGATTCACAAGTGCCTGAAACCAGCTCTTTCCAGAGACTAACAGCCTCAGAGTCCAACTGAGTTTATTACAAAGTGTTCACGTTTTAAAAATACTGCGCTGAAAAAAAAAAATACTGCGCTGACTAAGAACGAAAGCTGACTGTCTCACAGAGTCATGGTGCTGTGAGAAAGCAAGATATTTAGCCCGATAGCTGTTTCGGTGTCACTCCCTCTAACTGTGACTCGGAGGAAGACTGGCAACCGGGACTGTGTGTCAGTAATCTGTCCTCACAGAGGCCGTTGTCTCGCTGCTGTCGGAAGAGATCAGTTTCCGTCACTTCGATTTTGGAGGTGAGTCTGTCAGATGGGCCCAGACGGTCCCCACCGTGTGGCCCAGCGGACGTCAGCATCCGGGGATGCCGCAGACCAGAGGTAAGCGTCGTTGGCAGCTGGCGGCCGGGCCCAGCTCCAGGGGTGCAGTGCTGACGTGAAGCCGCCCTGGACACCGAGTGAGGTGGAGGAGAATCCGGGAAGCCCTGAGTCAGTCGGGCAGAGTGACTGATGCATGCCAGTAACCCCCGAGAGGCGGGCTCCTTCTGGAAAGAGCCTTTTCCTGACGGTCATGCTTGACACTGTTCACTGCTGCTTCGGTCACTGTCTTGAATTTATCTTTAAAACTCCCCACCTGAGGGGCGCCTGGGTGGCTCAGTCAGTTAAGCGTCTGCTTTCGGCTCAGGTCATGAACCTGGGGTCCTGGGATCGAGCCCCGCATCGGGCTCCCTGCTCGGCGTGCTCTCTCTCCCTCCCTGTCTCTCTCTCTGTCAAATAGATAAAATCTTTTTTTTAAAAAAAAGGCAAAGCAAAAAACTCCCCACCTGAAAAAAAACAAAAACCAAAAAAACTCCCCACCTGTCTTGTTGTGATGCTAGTAATAGGGTTTGGTCTCCTGGTGGTGTACTGAGGACATGGCACGCTGACAGAAGTCTTCCTCATACATGTTTGAACACATGTCCGGTTTATACGTCCTGTCGTGTGTGCCTGTGTGCTCACATGTGTTGAACACCGTTTCACGGCCAGTTGGGGAAAAGGACCCTTTAGGTGGTAGGACAGAGAGAGAGAGAGAGAGGTGTGACGCAAGTGGCACTCAGCCGGCATTCACATGAATTGCAGTTTGAGACAAGTCTGCGGTGTCCCTGCAAGCCTGAGATTGTGCCACCTCCATGGCCTGATCTGAGGTCTAACGTTCATGGCGGGTGTGGCTTTGACCTTGAGTTAGACCTGGGCTCCAAGCCTGGCTCTGCCATTTGTTAGCTCGTCCGGAGGCTGGCCAGGGGATCTTTGGACCTTGGCTGGTTGTTGTATAGAAGGAGATTAATTATATCCGTTTCAGAAGTCACCACTGTCACAGCCCCGGGTCTGGCCCGCCCCACTGGCGCTGCGGCTCTGACGCGTCTCCTGACCCAGGAGGGGCGCAGTCCGCGGGACAGAGGGCCTCCACCCCTGGCTCCTGCCCACGGCTGTTCCAGCCACGACGTCCTCCAACCCAGCTTCTCAATCGTGTTGTTTTCGATTTGTTCTCGGGGTCTCTGGGAGCCGGGTGGAGTCCCCGGCTGGGAACGTTGACCTCGATCTGAGCACAAAGGGCAACACTGTCACCTCAGGAGTGAAGTTGTTAGTTTGCCGACATGCAGGTTGCTAGGTGAAGGCGGGGTCTGCTAGAGAGATTCTGTCCAACACTGACTGTCACATTGGTGATGTCATGTTCTGGGGCAGATGTTTCCTCCGAACACTTCCAGAACACACAGGGGCGGGAAGCGGGTGATGTCTGAAGCAGGCCACGGAAGTTCGTGGATTGTAAACGCTATTCATTACGGAGTGGTCCCCCCTTTGGAATCGTCCAGGATGACACTTTCTGCTTTCTTATCAGCTCCCGTTATTTTTTTTCCCTTTCGATGGGCGCTGGAAGGGCGGGTTCCAAACTCTGAGGGTCATTTTCACAAGGATTCTTTTTTTGTTTGACTTTATTTTTTCCAGAGCACATTTGTCATTTGCCTGCTTCCCCAACGGGCTGCTCCCCAGTATTCCCTGGTGGGTGCACAAGCTGGGAACACCACAGTATCTTCCTAAATGTCTCCCCTCCCCACCCCATGGTCCCTAAGCCTGCTGACAGCCTCCTCACTCAGCCTCCTCCTTCCCCTGCCCCCCCCGCCGGACCCCTGCCGAGCCCCCCACCAGTCTCAGTCTGCAGCCCCACCCCCACCCTGTCCCCAGTCAGGCTTCCACCTCAGGCCATTTATATATCTATATATATGTATATATATATATATATATATATATTTTTTTTTTTTTTTTTACTAGCGTCCATTTCTCCTAGTGTGCCGTGGTCCTTCGACGCACTCCCCAAAAGGCAAAGTCTCTTGTCCTTGGGAGGATTCAGGAGGCCTTCCGCACATGCTTTGTCCACCAGCCCCAAACTCACCTGACTTTTCTCTCCCTGGACCATCTGTCTTCCTCCAAGGACCATTTCCAGCTCTGATGCCTCCCCCAGCCAGCTGGGGGCGGTGTTTCCTCAGAGCCCCCGGCCCTTGGTCTCCCCAGCATCAGGCTCTCGGACGGTCGGCTGCGGGGACCCTGGCCAGCCTGCCTTGAGGCCCAGCACCTGGTTCTGCTCAGTGACCAGGCACCCACAAGGTGGCCACTGTGTCATTTAACAGGTGCTGTGCCCAAGCCGACCACCCTCTGGGCATTTCAGGATCCTTTGAGGCAACAGGAGCATAATTCCAATTTTGCTTCCTGTTTCTCATTTGGGAAGACGATGTATTCTTATGTTCCCTGATCTGTCCCAGCCTGTGAACTATATTGTATCTCCTATACTTTTAAGTTAAAAATAGCATTTCCATACTTTTGTGCCTGGGAGCATTCAAAGCGGTCCATCTCCCGCTCACTCCCCCCGTGGCTGGTGCTCCTTGAGCAGAAACAACCTAGGGGACCACGGGGTCCCCTGCAGGGAGCCACAGGCTTCCCCTGCCTCCCACTTGTCCACATTTTTTTTTTTCCATTTTCAAGTTCAGCTCCCTTGATTTTTCTCATGTAAACACGCTGTCTGGTAACTCCAGTCAGAGCCCCCATCCTCTTTCTGGATCTTTGGAGACTGCAAAGTCCTGAGCAACGCCTGCTTCCGGGGTTCAGGGGTGAAGAAGCCGTAGCTTGAATGGGGCTTCAAAGGTGGCCGGGCAGATGGCTCGGGTGGCCGTGTGCCCTCGCGGATGTGTAGTGGGCCTCACTGACCACCAATGGCAGCAGCCTCTTGGGCGGGGGGATCCAGGTGTGCCCCACAAGATGTGGTGACAGGGGCCAGTGGGGCCCTCGTGGCCATCTTCACTGGGATCCTGGAGGCTTGGCTAGGATGATGGCCCAGGGGATGGCAGCGGCAGCTTCCTCGGAGCACCTACACCTGCTGCGTAGCCCCCAGAGCCACACAGGGCTTTGGACCTGGTCCCTGGGCCTACTTCTGCGGGGACGTCCTCTTCAGAGCCTCAACCTCAAGGGACACCAATGACGAGGCTTCTTGGCGGTGTAGTGGGTTGGATGGCGCCCCTCCAAATTTCATGCCAACCCAGGACCTTGGAATGTGACCATATTTGGAGATAGGTCTTTGTAGGCGGATGAGTTAAGGATCTCAAGATGAAATCCTCTTGGGTTTAGGGTGGGCCCTAAGTCTAATGACTGGTGTCCTTATCAGAAGAGAGGACGCAGTCACACAGAGAAGGCCACGTGAGGACAGAGGCAGAGACGGGGCTGAGGCCGCCCCTCGCTACGGAGCGCCAGGCAAGCCAGCGGCCACCAGAAGCTGGAAGAGGGACTAGA